TAGGAGCTCAATAAATCCTTGTGGCCTGATAATGACACAGCTGAATGAGCTAAATGAATGAACAAATGAACTAATGACAAGAGTTTAAGTTCTCCTCTCTCCAAAAGAAGAATATACTCTCTTCATCTTTATAACATCCTTAAGAGATGTAAAATGGAGAGAAATGATGGGGACCCTTCTCCCCACTTGCCAGGTGAGGAGATGGAAGTGGCTGAGCTATGAACCTTAGGTTTCGGGGACAACAGACCATTGACCATTTTCTCTGAACACTCACACACCTCACTTCTACATTAGTGCCCTCACCTAGAGTACTCTTTTCAAGGCCTATAACAATCCAACCTGCCAGACACATATATTTGGAAGGACATGAAAGAAATTGGTAATAGAGTTCCTCCATGAGGGATAAGGAAGGGAGATTTGTGTCCATTTTTCACCCCATTGTATTGTCGAAGTTTTTTAGACGTACATGTGATACTCTTGCAATAAACAAACCTGTAAACCAAGTTATTAAATGAAAACTTACACAATGAAAGAAGTTTCTATCCACTTTGCAAATTCTAGATCAAATACTTCCAAATGCCCTCTACTTTCTTCTATGATTTTATCAACTTTTCTCATCTTTTGAAAATTCTTATACTTCGATTCATTTTAATTCAATTCAAGTCAACTCAGACACTTCAATTATAGATAGCACATTCTAATTTTTACCGTGGGACCTGGATACAAATTTTAGCATTTCCTCCTCTCCCTAAACACAAGTTCATCCAGTTTTTCATTGAGGCCTCTGGAGTCAGGCTGTGTGACCTCAGAGAAACTTTGCTACACTACTCTGTGCCTCTCTTTCCTCTTTTATAAAAGTACTAGTGGCCCAGTGCATGAAATTCATGCACATTAAAAGGGAATTAATTAGAGGAAATATTTTAATGTTGCTATTTGCCCTTTCTCTATAATAGAAGTGTCAGAGATGAAAGAAAATTAGTAAAATGTATATGAAAATCTTCCTCCTGTCAGAGTCTGGGGCATGCCGCGAGACCCAGAGTCAAGTCCCCGCCCACCTGCATGCACTATGAAATTGCGCAAGACCCAGACCTGGCCGGCCTTACCCCTGTCAAGCCCCTCCTGGTGGAGGGCGCAGCCTCAGGTCCCCTGGCACACCCTCAGGTCCCCCTGCCTGGTGCCAGGGTGGGGGGCCTGGCCTCAGGTCCCCCGTTAAGCCCCGCTGGGCTGGGGGCTGCGGCCTCAGGTCCTCCAGCCCAGTGCCAGGGTGGGGGGCGCAGCCTGAGGTCCCCTGGCCCAGTGCCAGAGCGGGGGATACAGCCTGAGGTCTCCCTTCAATCCCCACCGGATGGGGGGTGCAGCCTGAGGTCCCCCATCAAACCCCACTGGGTGGGGGGCACAGCCTCAGGTCCCTTGGCCCAGCTCCACACAGCCTCAGGTCCCTGCTGCTCGCTCATTTTGGCTTGTTACGGGAACCCCGCCTCAGCTGTGGGTGCAGCCATCTTGTGTTACAGGAACCCTGCCTCCACTGTGGGCACAGTCATCTTGTGACGGCGTGATGGAGTGAGGGTCAATTTGCATATTACCTCTTTATTATATAGGATAATGGTAGTAACAATTGAAATATATCTCTTAGGGTTGGCCTGAGAATTAGATAAATGATACACATGAAGCACTTAGAACAGTGCCTGGTAAGTAGTAAGCAGAGGCACATGCTGTCATTACTCAGTCCACAGACATGTGTGGAAGAGCTCTCATGGACCAGACTCTGTGTCAGGTGCTGGCAGAGGCTGTGTTTGCTCATTTTGCTCCCCCCACACCTCTCACCGTGCCTGCCACATCATGCATCCTAATTACATAGTTGCTGAATGGGATGGTCCAGGTCAATCTATGATAAAACAAATAGCCCTGATGTTTTGGTTTCCAGTCCAGTGCTGGAGACAGAGATGGTGGTGGCATTATTAAAGCTTTTGAGAAATAAAAGTGCCCAGATCTACATCTTGAGATAAAATGGGCCCAAGACTGTTATATACACAGGGTTGGACCAAGTCTAGAACCCACATTTACTTGTCCCTCATCTCCCCCACCCCCCATGTGTGGAGAGGAGGTGGAGAGGACCTGCATGAAGGAATAAAACATGCTATTGGGGTAGATTCATCAATTGTAACAAATGTGCCACTCTGGTGGGGGATGCTGATAATAAGGGAGGTTGTGCATGTGTGTGTGTTGGGGGGGGGTAGGGAAAAATCTCTGTACTTCTGCCTCAATTTTTCTGTGAATCCAAAACTATTCTAAAAATAAAGTCTATTTTTTAAAAAGTACCATAAGGGGAATGGAAAATTCACTTTATTAAGGGAAGGGCCATGAACTTAAAAAAAAATCTATCTATATATAAAAGCCTAAGCCACCAGAATGAACGGTCCCCATGATGCTCACTGACCACCAGGGGGCAGACAGTTAATGCAGAAGCTGCCCCTTGGTAGTCAGTGCGCTCCCATAGCCAACCTCCCCCAGCCAGCCAACCGCCCAGTCCCTCCGCCTGGCTGGCAGGCCCCGATGGTCCAATTGGGGCTGGCCCCTGGGCTGGGACAGGGAATTGGGGGTGGGTGGCAGCAGACGTGGCCCCTTTCCCAAGAGGACTGAGGGCTGGCTCCTTCCTTGGGGCCGGTGGCCAACCTCCCATGCTCTGTCTCTCCCCACTGCCAGCAGGGCCTGATCAGCCCGCCACCTGCCTGCCATGGTGGAGGTGTGGTGGCAAGGGAAGGAGGAGGGGGGAGGCGGGGAACTGTGTGGCAGTGGGACGCCGACAATGGTGGCGTTGATGTCTGTTCCTTCTGCACCCGGCCTGGCCACCATTGCCTCCTCTCCAGCCCAGCTCTGATTGCCAGCCAGGCCTAGGGACCCCACCCATGCATGAATTTCGTGCACCAGGCCTCTAGTGTGTGTGTGTGACACACACACACACACATACTAATAAAAGAGTAATATGCTAATTAGACTGGGTCAACCGGACATCTTACGGTCATCCAGTCCTCCTTCCAGACAAAGCCACAGTGGCTGGGGCTGAGGCAGAGGCTGTTAGGGGCCATCAGGCCAGCAGGCAGAGATGGTTAGAGGTGATCAGGCAGGTAGGCAGAGTGGTTAGGGGTGATCAGGCAGGCAGGCTGGTGAGCAGTTAGGAGCCAGCGGTCCCAGATTGCGAGAGGGTGCAGGCTGGGCTGAGGGACCCACTCCCGTGCACAAATTTCATGCACCAGGCCTCCAGTACATAGATATTTCAGAAAGGAAAGGAGAGGAAGAGATGGAAACATCAATGATGAGAATCATTGATTGGCTGCTTCCTGCATGCCCCCTACTGGGGACCAAGCCCACAACCTGGGCATGTGCCCTGACAGGGAATTAAACCATGATCTACTGGTTCATAGGTCGATGCTCAACCACTGAGCCATGTGAAATTTTTGATTTTTACAATTCTGACTGGGAATTGGAAGGTGAGCTGAAGGGAGATGGGAAGGGGAGGTGGTACTGATTTTAGAAGAACTGGGCTTCTTGGTTGGGTGACTCTGTCATGGCTGATCTGTCCCACTTGCAAAACATTTCTGTCTGGGCTTTATTGGGGTTTCACAGAAGGGTGTGTATTTAAAAATAAATACACTGTAAAAGTGGTGTGCATATTTCAGAGAAGACAGAATGGAAGGAAGGGAGCCACTGCTGATTGGGTAGACACACCCTAGGGGGGCTGGGCTGTTACTCACTAACCAGTGACCTCCACAGTCTTGAGTGGAACAGCTGTCAGTAGCACCTGAGACGTCATGTGCCAGGAGGCAAGAAAGCACAGAAATGAAAAACCTTACCACAGTCACTTGGAGGTGTTCTAAAAAGGAAGGAGTTGAAAATAGGCTGCACCCAGGAAGGCCCTTCCTGTGAATCAGTTTGGCTTTCTGAGCCTTGAGCTCAGTTATTCCTCTCCCAGACACCGGGCAGCAAGAGCCACGGGTCTGCCTGATTCTGAGGAAAAGTGGGGCTAGGAAGGTCTTTCCACCTGGGAGTCTGGCAGCCCCTCTGGTCTCCCAGGCATGTCTCTGGGATTTTCCTGGAGGAGTCCATAATGGATTTACTGTCTTGAAAACCCCAAGCACAAAACACACGGAGGCTCCGGATCCCCCCCACGCACACTTCAGGCTGCCTCCCACACTCTAATTAAAGTCCCAAGGCCTTTAAGCTGAAATGAGACTCACCCCAATACCCAGTGAACCCAAAGTTCACTTCTTGCTTGGCTTTTTCTTTCTCAAATACCTTTTCCCACAGCCCTGATGCTACCAAACAGAGAACACCAGCTAGCCTTCAGAAGGCAAGAAAGACAGGGGCAGAGCCCCGTCCGAGTGCTCTGCCGTGTGACTGGCCAGCGCTGAAGCTGCCCCGACCACTAACTGTAACCAGAAAACCAGAAACCCTGGCCTCTCCCCTCTTGCTGCCTTGGAACCTTCTCTTCCAGGAAAGTAGCCACCAGTACAACCGCACTGTGGCCACTCTGTTCTCAACCAAGTGCCTGGGATTTTCGCTTCTACCCTCTCTTCCCACGACAGTCCTCCCTTGTTGTTGGACCATGTTTCTGACCCCTTCCAGGGCCAGGGTGTGGGAGCCATTTTCTCCCAGAGCCCCGTCTCCCCATCTCAAGCTCTTAGCCTGGGTCTTTGCCAGAAGGACATCACACAAAACCACCCACTCAACCAGGACTGACCAGAGCCTGTCACCGGAGAGGCTGGTCTAGAAGGTGACCTGTGCCTCTGGCTCAGAGCTCCCTTTTTCCTCGGAACCCGGGGCACAGGAACTCACAGTGTTCCTTCCCGTTCGAAAGAGGCAGATGAAACTCCCAGCCAGTCCCTAAGGAAGAGGCAGCTGAACCACAGCCCCTCGCCACCGCGCCTCCTGCCAGTCCCCGGGGCTAGCTGACTCCATGGCAAGTAACACCAGGGCTCCAACCCTCACACACGGACACCCACCTGTTCCACAGCTCCGGTCACAAGCCAGGGAGAGAAACAGCAGGACGTTCAAGGGGAGAAGCCCCTTGGGATCCATCCGTGAAGAGAAGGAAGGAGCTTGATGAGAGGAACCCCGGGCGGCAGCTGCTTGTAAACGGCACGGCAGAAGCGAACTCTACCGGGCAGTCCTGCCTCTGCAGACTAGACCAGGCATCAGGAACCAGCAGGCTTCCTGTCTTAACGGGACTTTTTGATCTAGCGAATTGCTCATCCCCCTCAGGCCTTAAATCACTTTGTTGTTCCCAAGAAGTCCGAGTCAGGTGCTTAGACCATAAAGCCGGGAAAGGAGCTGTGTGGTCACTTTGGCCAAACCCTGGTACAACCGCAGAAATGTGCTCCCCTATTAGCTGTCTCCAGGAAAGGGGCCACCAAGATTTCTGGGCAGTTCTGAGTGGTAACTCTTCCTAGAGTTCAAAGGAAAGGAAGTTTTGTCAGATCACTCCCAAATTTGGGTAAGGCAGGTCAAGTGGAACGTGGATGACTGAACTTTAATGAGTCAAAGGACCTCTTATTTCTGATTTGTTCCACAATTTCAGAGAACACCTCTACATGCAGGCAGGTCCCGGTGTCAAAGTCGTAGAGAGGTGGGTGGGCAAGTGCAGATCAGTCGTCAGAAACCCAGCTTCCCTGCTGGGTACAAGGTGGTAGCATTTAGTGAGCTCTGTGGTTGTTTGGAGGGACCGCCTTTATTTTTGAGCTTGTGTCTAAATTTTTTTTTAAATATATTTTATTGATTTTTTACAGAGAGGAAAGGAGAGGGATAGAGAGTGAGAAACATCGATGAGAGAGAAACATCGATCAGCTGCCTCCTGCACACCCCCTACTGGGGATGTGCCCGCAACCAAGGTACATGCCCTTGACCGGAATCGAACTTGGGACCCTTCAGTCCACAGGCCGACGCTCTATCCACTGAGCCAAACTGGTTAGGGCATGTGTCTAAATTTTTATTGAGGAGAAGTAACAGAATAAGAGGCCACGTGCTTTTCCATGAGTTATGCTATAAGAATGAAACCTTGGAAAGATGTTATTACGGTGTTCACAGGGAGTCTTTAAAAGACCAGGCTAATGTTTTGTTTTTGTGTTTTTTAAAATAAAATATATTATTTACTAGAGGCCCGGTGCACGAATTCGTGCACAAGTGGGGTCCCTCAGGGTGGCCTACAGAGATTGAGCCCCAGCTTGCGCCCCCAGCCGCGCAGCCCCGCAGCCCCACCTGGCACTCCGCTTTGGTCTGGTGTCGCCCCTTCACATGCTCCACCATCCTGCCTGCAGGGTGATTGGTTGGGGCTGGGACCCCCCCCCCCCCGCCCCCGGCTCCCTGAGTGCCTGGGAGCTGGACAGCAGCCCTGCCCCCTGCTGCTGCTTGTCACTTTCTGCAGGGTGATCGGCGGGGCAATTGGGCCCCCGCCGGCACCCACCTTGGCCTGGCGCCACCTGCTTACCTGCTCCACTATCCTGCAGCAGTCCTGCTCTCATTGGGGCCCATCGGGGCCGGCAGTACTTCCACTGCCACCTGTTGCCAGTGCTGCATCGCTGACCCCTGCCATGTTCCATGCTGCCCCCTGGTGGTCAGTGCACATCATAGTGAGTGGTCGAATTCCCGGCCTCCTGGTCAAACTCCTGGCCAAATGACCACCTGAGGGGACAATTTGCATATTAGGCTTTTATTTTATAGGATTTCAGAGAGGAAGGGAGAGGGAGAGAGAGATAGAAACATCAATGATGAGAGAGAATCATTGATTGGCTGCTTCCTGCACACCCCCCACTGGGGACTGAGCCTCTAACCTGGGCTTGTGCCCTTGACCAGAATCGAACCCAGGACCCTTTAGTCCACAGGCTGATGCTCTATCCACTGAGTCAAACCAGCTAGGGCACCAGGCTAATGTTTTTAAAGTCCATTTTAACAGCTCAAACTCACTCTCCAAATGGACCTCCATAAGGAGATCAGGATAATAAGAGAAATAAAGACTTTCTTAGACAAACAAAAATTAAGGGAATTCATTTCCAGTAGTGCTGACTTGTAAGAAATGTTAAAAGAAGTTTTTTAAGAAGAAGGAAAATATTATAGATCAGAAACTCAGATCTACATAAATAAAGGAAAAGCATCAGAAAAGGAATAAATGAAGGTAAAATAAAAACTTGTATTTATCTTATTCATCATTGATCTAACAGATAGCACATTGTTTAAAATAATAACAATAATGTATTCAATTATGTGTGCTTATGTATATATCATATATATGTATTAGTATGTATGTATATAAATCCTATATAATAAAAGCGTAATATGCTAAGTGTCAGGTTGGCCATTCAACCAATCAAAGCATAATATGCTAATGATATGCTAAGGCTGCTCAACCACTTGCGATGACGTGCACTGACCACCAGGGGGAAGACAGTTGACTGGTCCACCAGTCACTATGACACGCACTGACCACCAGGGGGTAGACAGTTGACCGGTCAACCAGTTGCTATGTGCACTGACCACCAGAGGGAAGACACTCTTACTGGTTAGTTAGCTTGCTGCTGGTGTCTTGCCTATCAGGACTGAGCAAGATGGGCCAGACATGCCCTGGAGCCCTCCTGCGGTCCCTCCCTGGCTGGCCAACCTCCCGTGTCCCTCCCCGGCCCCGATCATGCACCGGTGGGGTCCCTTGGCCTGGCCTGTGCCCTCTCACAATCCTGGACCCCTTGAGGGATGTCAGAGAGCTGGTTTTAGCCCAATCCCACAGGCCAGGCTGAGGGACCCCACTGGTGCATGAATTCATACACTGGGCCTCTAAAATATATATATATTCATTTGTGCTTGTATATAAGTGAAATGTATGACAGTAATGATATAAGGGAATAGAGAGAGGAATTAGGATTTTTAAATTATAAAGTACTCACACTACCCATGAAGCAGTAAGTGAGCTTGGATTGGTTGTAAATATATATTGCAAAATCTAAGGCAACCACTAAAAAAAAAAAGTACAACTAATACACTAAGAAAGGAGAGAAAATAAAAAACCACTAAAGGCAGAAAAAGAGTGGAAGGTAATAATAACAAAGAGCAAACTAATACACTAAGAAAGGAGAGAAAATAAAAAACCACTAAAGGCAGAAAAAGAGTGGAAGGTAATAATAACAACAAAGAGCAAGGATAACAAATAGAAAATAGTAAGAAATATGACAAATATTAAGTCAACTACATCAATAATCACGCTGAATGTCAAAGGTCTAAATGAACCAACCAAAAGACAGAGATTGTTGGAGTGGATTAACAACAAGACTCAACAGCCTGACTGGCATGGCTCAGTGGTTGAGCATCGACCTATGAATCAGGGGGTCACTGTTCAATTCCTCGTCAGGGCATATGCTTAGGTTGCATGCTCCATCCCCAATGGGGTGCATGTGAGGGGCAGCCAATCAATGATTCTCTCTCATCATTGATATTTCTCTCTCTTCCTCTCTAAAATTAATAAAAATACATTTTAAAAGAACAACAAGACTCAACAATATGTTGTCAACAAGAAACCCACTTTAAGTATAGAGACACATAAAGATTAAAAGTAAATGGATGGAGAAAGAAAGAACATGCTAGCACTAATCAAAAGAAAGCAAAGTAGCTGTATTAATTTCAGACAGAGCAGACATCAAAGCAAGGGAAGCTATCAGAGAAAAAGAGGGACATTACACAATAACAAAGGGATCAATTCTCTAAGAAGACATAACAATCCTTAACATGTTTGTGCCTAACAACAGAGCTTCAAATATGTGGGCAAAACCTGATAGAACTGCAAGGAGAAATAGATAAGTCTACTATTATAATTCAAGATTTCAACACCCCTGTTATCAGAAATGGACAGATCCAACAGACAGGAAATCAGTAAGGACACAGTGGAGCTCAACAGCACCACCAGTCAACTGGGTATAATGAACATCTACAGAGTACTTCATTCAACAATAGCAGAATACACATTTTTTTCTCAAGCTCACAAGGAACATTCACCAAAACAGAGCATCTTCCTGTCCACAAAATACACATTAACTTATTTAAAAGAATAGGAGTCATACAATATCTGCTCTCAGACCACAGTGGAATTAAACTAGATATCAATAAAAGAAAAATAACCAGAGACCCCAATGGAGATTAAACAACCCACTTCTAAATAACACGTGGGTTAAAGAAAGAAATCCCAACACAATTTTTAAAATATTTGAACAAAATGGAAATGAAAACACAAATTATTAGAATTTGTAGAATGCAGCTAAGTAGTATTTACAATGAAATTTATAGCATTGAATGCATATATTAGAAAAGAAATACCTAAAAATCAATAATCTGAACTGATGAACATAAACAGATCCAGAGACAGAGAAGCATGGAACAGACTGTCAAACTTAGAAGGAAAGTGAAGAGGGAGGGAGGAGAGACGGGGTAAGAGATCAACTAAAGGACTTGTATGCATGCATATGAGCATAACCAATGGACACAGACACTAGACCAGGGGTCCTCAAACTTTTTAAACAGGGGGCCAGTTCACTGTCCCTCAGACCGTTGGAGGGCCGGACTATAGTTTAAAAAAAAACTATGAACAAATTCCTATGCATACTGCACATATCTTATTTTGAAGTAAAAAAACAAAATGAGAACAAATACAATATTTGTATTTGCATGTGGCCCGCGGGCCGTAGTTTGAGGACCCCTGCACTAGAGGGTTGAGGGTATGTGCTGGGAGGTGGGGATGGCCGGGAAGAGGTCAATGGGGGGAAAAGGAGATATGTGTAATACTACATGTAATATTTTAAACAATAAAGAATTTAAAAAGAAAAAAAAAGAAACTAGAAAAAGAAGAGCAAATTAAATTCAAAGTAAGCAGAAAAAAAACCCAGAAAGCAAGGAAATTGAAAACACAAAATCGATAGAGAAAATCAATGATATTTGAGAGATCAGCAAAATTGATAAACCTAAATTATAAAAAAAGACAAAGGACACAAGTTACTGATATACGGCAGGTTAGACCCTCCTATTTAAGAGTGGGAGATGGTCTCATTGTGCAGCTGTTTTCCACAAGCATGTGGTCCTCCTCAATCTCAGGGTGGGCTCCGCATAGCCACAGGGAAGGGAGTGCTGTTTG